GTAAACCAATTAACGATCTCTACGGCGTATTCTGTAACGAAACACGTTACATTGGTGTCAGAAGTGTTACGAACTTAAACACGCCACAAACAGATTGTTGTGCATCAAGTACTTTACTGCTACAAAATGGAGATGCAGCAAATAATCGAAATGCTGGCGAAGGCAGAGGCCAATAGAAAAGCTGACAAGGAAGAGATGGAGGAAAGTAGGAAGAAAGACAGAGAAGATTTCCTGGCCAAATTAGACGCCGATAGGAAAACTGACAAAGAGGAAATGCTGGCAAGAATGGACGACAACATTAAAACACGTCAAGAAGATTTCCTAACAAAATTAGACGCCTACCACGAAAAGGCGACGGCCGACAAGGAAGAATTGAAGGCCGAAATGCGANTGGAAGCAAATAGGAAAAAAGACAGAGAAGATTTCCTGGCGAAATTAGAATTCAATCAAGAAAAAGCAAATATCATGCTGGCAAAATTATACGCCGATAGGAAAACTGATAAAGACGATATGCTGAAAGAGTTGAAGGCCATGCAAGAAAATAGGAAGACAAACAAAGAAGATTTAATATCCAAATTAGACGCCAATCAAGAAAAGGCGGTTGCAGACAAGGAAGAATTGAAGGCCTCAATGAAATCTATGCGGTCAGAGTTGGATGATAAAATCCAACATAGAGTTGAAAACATTTTGGCGATTGTTGAACACGACAAACGAAATATCCAGGAAGAGCTAACGAAAACATGTGCAGCAATTGAAGAAACCAAACGAGATTTCCAGGGCCGGTTGGAAGTAGTACAGACGAGGACCGAGTAGGGAATCATGGTCAGCGCGAGCACAGCTCAACCACCGACATTCAATGGGAATTCAACGTGGAGTGTGTTCTGGCGACAATTCGAGACCGTGGCAGAACACAACCAATGGTCGGACCAGGAAAAATCGACGTACCTAATTACTGCCCTGAAGGGTCGGGCGGCGGAAATACTACCCGGCATTCTGACAAATGCGACTTATGAGGAAACACTTCAGGCTCTAGAGAACCGTTCAGGGACCAACACTTTGCAGCTGCTTACCACTGCCAATTAAGAACGAGGACGCAGAGACCTGGAGAATCCCTGCAAGACTTTGCCACGGCCATTGAACTCCTTTCCCGTCGTGCCTACCCCAATCTACCTGCTGATCACATAAGAAGGGGAGGCCGCTTTTCAAACACTAAAGGGTGCTCTATGTGCTGCCCCTATTCTTGCCTACCCACAGCCAGGAGAGAAATTCACTGTGGACACAGATGCAAATAATGTCGGAATTGGAGGAGTTCTCTCTCAAGTACAGGACGTACTAGAGTGTGACTGGGAGTCCGCCACCGGAAGACGTCAGGTAACCCAGATAATTATTCCTCGGAGCAGGGTGAAGTACGTTCTGAGCGAACTGCACGGTGGACCGTCAGGATGCCACTTCGGTGTCAACAAAACTGTGAATAAGGTTCGACAGAGATTCTACTGGCTCCAAGCAAGAACCGATGTTGAGAAATGGTGTCGACAGTGTGACACATGTGCAGCCAGTCGGGGACCGCGGACGAGGAATCGTGGGCAAATGCACCAGTATAATGTCGGGGTTCCCTTTGAGAGAGTAGCCATTGATATCGCAGGGCCCTTCTCACGAAGCGACCAAGGAAACCAATACTTACTGATCGCTATGGACTACTTCACCAAGTGGCCGGAAGTGTACGCCATCCCGAATCAGGAGGCTTCTACAATAGCGGAAGTTCTGGTTGCCAACTTCTTCTGCCGCTTCGGCATGCCTCGAGAGTTGCACAGTGACGAAGGCCGTAACTTCGAGTCTCATCTACTGAAAGAAGTTTTGCAATGCCTGGGAGTGAGCAAGACGCGCACCACACCCCTGCACCCACAGTCGGATGGCATGGTGGAACGCTACATCAAGACCATCGAGGAGCACTTGCGGAAAGTCATCTCATCGCACCAAAGGGACTGGGATGAGAGGTTACCCCTCTTTCTCCTAGCTTACAGGGCATCCACTCACGACACAACGGGCCTGACCCCTGCTGGCCTAGTGTTCGGACAAGAACTACGACTACCTTGCGACCTGATCTTTGGAGTACCCCCAGACAAAGAACAACCCACAACCAATTATGCAGCAGACTTAGTGGATCATCTGCACGACATCCACAATTATGCCCGGCAACACCTGAAGCTGGCCAGTGACCAGATGAAAACTCGGTACGATAAACTGGCCAACTCCGCAGGTTACGATGAAGGCGACCGAGTCTGGCTCTATCGCCCAACCCACAGAAAGGGGAAATCACCGAAACTACAGGCATCATGGGAAGGTCATTGCAAAGTAGTGACCCGGATAAATGATGTGGTTTACCGAATCCAGAAGACCCCTAGGTCGAGGATGTTGGTTGTACACCTCGACCGGCT